TTGTGTTTCAAAAAGCAAAGAGAGAAACAGTAGAGGATATTGGTTGTATGGATACCAATTGAAGGCAGATGTGGGAGATGTAGGTCCATGCCCAAGGGAGCCTGAACCCATCCTTCTCATCTCTTGAATTGTAATCCCATCACCATACTTAGCCTGGGGTCGGATGCTCCTGTTTTGCTGATGAAGCTGTTACACCTCAGTTATATGCAGGCAGGCAGCAAGCTCTCTGCAAACACACCCATGCATTTACAATGCCAGACTCTGGCTGCCCTATGTTCACCTTATGTAAAATTGATGATTTTGACAAGCTGCCCCCTGGCCTCCATTAAGTAAAGGCTCATGGTTTCCACATAAAATTTATAGAAATCAATGTGCAAAAAATTCAAATGCAAAAAATACGTGCAAATAGATGCCACCTTCCCCAAACCTGTTGTGTGTCCCACTGCACAGACCCCACTTTAGAACATTTTCAGCAGTAAATTTCATGAATGAGAAGCCATCTTCCTCAACTGCATCCTCTTTCAGCTTAAAATTGTCCAATTACTAAACAAAGATGATTTAAGCACTGGTCAGAAAACCTCCGTGGCTCAGAAACATCATTGATTCCTCTCATTGTGCCTCACCTCATTTATAGCCCTCATTGAGCCTCCAAAGCTGATGTGGCCAAGAAACACTTACAGCTGTGGTGTTTGCAAGGGAAAGATGGTTTATTTATCCTTGTGCATATTAAACACTTTGCCTGATGAGTGGGAAATGCATGTTGTGTGTATGAGTGAGAGGCTTTCTGCGCACACTATCATAGAGCCATTAAGGTTGGGAAAGCCCATCACCAGTCATCAGTCACCCCATCACCAGCCATGCCACAGGAATTCTACAAAAACTTATTCCTTGGTAAATTACCTGGGTGCTGGGCTTTGTTTTAGTAGTCATGGTAATGCTGTCTGTGGCTAAACTGTGACGATCTGGCAGGCAGCATTTCTCATGCTGTATGAGCAGTAGTGGCACACCAGTACGGTGCACGTGTGCCTTCCCATGGCAGGCAGACGCATACAGCTCTGACTTTTGGAAGGAGTGCCTCTCCTTCCAATTTCTACTATATTAGTTTCAGCATTGGTTGTTGGCTATTATGAGTTTGAGTGACCATTTATAATGTTTTCCTGCAAAAACTAATACCCCATTAAGCAGCTAGCAGCCTTTCTTCTCAGCTCGGTGATTGAAAAGGAAGGGGTGCTCTGCAGATGAAACCACTGGTTTTCCTTTCACAGTAATACTGCTTTTCTGGTGCCTAATTTGCTGCCAATATCATTACAATGTTTAACAAGAATGTGTCAAAATATAAATCATGACTAGCATACTTCTCTGTCCCCCACAGAACAAATTACTGGCAGTGGATGCAGCTTGTTCCTTATGTAGGTGCCTTACAGCCCATCTTCTTCTACACATTTGTTTAGCCCACCTCAGCGCTCAATGTCCATTATCTGTTCTTCTCTTGATAGAGAACAACAGACATGAGCTTTTCTTTTGGTGGTCATGGGTGAGGGGAAGGGCTTGCTAGAGATCCTATATTGCTTCAAGTGTAACTGTGTGAGAGTTTATGGAGAGTTTATGTGTGAGAGTATATGGAAACAGCATCCCATCTATGATTCCCATGTTGTTTTCTCGTTATAAATTTATGCCATATTACTAGGTCATGTTCACTATGCGCGTTGCAGTCCTTTGGTTGCTCTATCACTGTTAAGGCAGCTGTGAGCTAAATATTTTATTTGAACAAGAGAAATTCTCAAAATAAAGCTCTTGTGTGGATCCAAGCTGCTTTTTGTGGTTATGTTCTGTTCCTATAAATTCGTTTGATGTCTGCAAAGTTTTGCCTCAGTTGGATTTGGCATTTTCTCCACTCTAGCAGTTGTGGGGAAGAAAAAAAAGAAAGAAAAAAAGGAAAAAAAAAAAAAAAAAGGAGAGAGCAAAGGGGAGAATAAACAAGTTTTGCAATAAGAAGATATTTTGTGCTCAGTATTTCAGGCTATTTCTTATTGGTCAGACTTGTTTCATGATTTGAGAGTGCTGGAGATGCAATTTATTCGTTTTCTCCAAGAGAGATGCTGCATTTAATATGTGCTCTCCAGGATCCCCTGTTAAAATATTAGGCAATAAAATCTGTGACTGTACAGTAGTTGTTGTTATAATTTCCCTTAGGTAGTGGAAATCGTAATTTATTGTTTTTTAAGATTTCCCCTCGCACAGAAGCTGAGTGATTGCAGTGGTGTAGGGGCCTGGTTTTCTCCAAGTGCATCTGTGTGTACCATGGCTCCTCTCTTCTGGCACAACCACTGTGCTGCAAAGCCCTCCCCAGTTTACAATTGCTGACTTAGCACCTGGGAGCAAAATAGCAGTGACCAAACTGGATTTGCTGTGAGCAACTTGCTTTGCTCCCTTTGTTAATAGCTCAGGGTCTGCCTGAGCCTTGGCTGTGTGGGCAAATACCCCATGGATCTGAACAGCAGAAGTGCTTTATGGTGAAGACCGTTACACCATAGAAAGCTGCTCTTTAATACAGACAGCAGAGGTTCAGGTTGGAAATTAGGACAAATTTAATCTCAGAAAGATGCATTGGCACAGGCTGCAGGGATGTGGTAGGTCACTGTTCCTGGAGGTGTTTGAGAGCTGTGGAGATGCGGTACCAAGGACACGGTCAGTGGGCATGGTGTGGATGGGTTCGAGTTGGATGGGATGATCTTGGTTTTTTTCCTATGATTCTATGTCATACCTTCCTTCTGCGATGTTCTTCTAGTACAAATTGGCTGAATTGACTGAGGTGGGCACACTAGGATCCTATCTGCCATGCAGTTGTTGGTTCCTCCCCAGAGTACGTCTGCTTTCTCTAAGTAATGTTGCAGATATTCACTGCTCTGAGTTCTGAGTAAGGCATGGTTTGTGGCCATCTCGTCTGGTTTTTTAGACCAGATGAGAACCCTTAAAAAAACCAACAGCACTGTTGTGCAACATCCAAGCTCTTTGGTGTGCTTGGTGGAATGTTGCCCAAAGGATGTAAGGGGAAAAGTTCCTAAAACTGCAAGGGTTCTGAGACCAGAGAGGAAAGTGATAGGAGAACTGTGTTTATTGTTTTTAAAATCTGTTTTTCAGCCATTGCTCTGAGTTTTGAGTGTGTGGGATGGACGCAACTGCTGAAGGAGAAGGAGGGAGATGGGATCCTCTGCCCTCTGCAGGAAGGTTACTTTTGGATCCCACTTTTGTGCAGGAGCATGGCTGTTCTGAGCATGCTGCTTAGTTAGCTTTACTTTATGTGCGCACATCAGGACAGGCATCTGAGAAGAATTTAGAGCCTGATTTGACTTGCTTAGCACCTGAGGCTGCACTTCAGCAATGATGAAAGCTGGTGGAGGAAGGGAGAGGTGTCTGATCTCCTAACTGTGGGTGATAACAGCAACCTGTGTTGGCAAACACACATCTAAGCACTCCCAAAGTTGCTAAAAGGTTTACAAAGTGTAGAAGGGGAAAAAAAAACATGGTTCCGGATCTTTAGGCAGCCCCTGTTTGTGTGGGCTTCAGTGTTGGGGCAACAAAGAGAAAGTGCTAACTTCATGGCGAGTGCGATGCTGCTAGTAGAAGATCTGTGCTGGGGAGAAAATCACCTTCCATTGACACTTCCATTGCAATGGGCTCTGCACTGCCGCCCACCGCACGCTGTTATTAGATGCTGTTTGCACATTTGCCTCTAAGAAAAAAACACGAGGCTAATGGTAAACAAACAGGCACAAGTCAGTGTCAATGAGCATCTCGTTTCTACCATTGTTTTGTTCTGCCCTTATGGATCACACTCCCGCAGAGAGGAGCTTGCGTTGTTTTCTCCTGTTTTGTGAATTTTGTAATTCACTGAATGCTAACATTGATGCCAGGTATTCTGAGGGAGAAGTCCCTGATGTTGAATCGGTAGCACAGAAATGTGTCTGGTGGTTTTTTTGTCTGCCTAGAGTCTTAAATTCTGAACGCTCAGCAGGCAGCACGTTATTAGAGGCGATGTAAGAAACTGACGCCTGGGGGAAGCATGTGAAAAGGACTTTCCATAAGCCAAAGTGAAGGGCAAGAAGGCAATGAATACTTTTGTGGGGCAAAATCTGCCTCCATAAGCACAATCCTGAGTGCATTTGCTGCCCTCCATCCCCACTGGCTGCAATGCCATTTAAAGCAGTGGGGCAGCCAGACCTCTGACCACCGGCAGCAAGCTGGGGACCAAGATGCAAAACCCAAACTTGTCCTGGGGATGCTGCCATGCTGCACAGCCCTTCTGCTGTCCTCAGTGCCGAGTTTCCTTCGTTCTCTCCTCTCTCCTGGCTCTCGCGTTGTCCTGCCACGCCATGCCTGCTTTCCCAGGGCATCCTTGTTAAATCCATGCAGATATTTGGGGCATTATTTTAGGAGAACTTTGTGTTTCGGGTTTATTCAGTTAAGGAAGAGAGAAAAAGACATTTTCCCTTTGCCTTTTTTTTCTTTGTCTGGAAGGAGTGATTTTATTTGAGGTGATTTTTTGTTGAATTAAAGCCTCTGCGAAGTAATATTGCATCTTCAAAACAAACTGCTGAACTCAACTGCTTTTACCAAATGCATGCAGAATTTTCCCCTCCGGATCCTTCGAGGCCCTAGAGTGCCAGCCTTGCAAAACCCAGGGTGGTTGAGGAGAGTCACTTGAGAGTGATCTCCATAGGATACCTTTAGACAGTGTGCAGTATTTATAAATGTATATATACATCTAATACATAAAATTCTCTTACGGTGTGTTACTGCATACAGTGAGCAGCAAGGAAAATAACGCAGAACTAAGGTACCGAAGGAGGTGCTGCCCAGCTGGTAAACTCTGAAAGGAAGAGGAAGAACAAAAACTCCACAAACCTCAAAGAGGCACAGACACAAACCCTTAGCAGCTTTTATCATCGGATTTGTCTTGCTGCTTAATCCGCGTTCTTATTTTTGTGTGATTGTTTCAGATGCCTCAGGAGCAATACGCGCACAGGAGCACCATGCAGACCTCGGAAGGGCCCCAAGTATACAAAGTCGGGATTTATGGCTGGAGGAAGAGATGCCTCTATTTCTTTGTGCTGCTCCTAATGATCTTAATCCTGGTGAACCTTGCTATGACCATCTGGATTCTGAAGGTCATGAACTTCACAATTGTAAGTCCTAGGGGTTAGCCTAAAAGATGGGGGGAAGAGGATGGGGGATGGTGGTGGCTTCTCTGCCCATGAATTCAGGTATGGTTTCAGTAATGGGGTGGTGTAATTGCCATGGGTAGCTGCTGCAGCAGGGAGGAGCAAATTTATCCTACAGTCCTCTTCTTTTTTTTCTGCTGGAGAATGACTCTTAGGGCTGTCTGCAGGACTGCCTGGCTGGGAAATCAGCTCAGCATCATGAATCACATTCCTCCTCCGATCTTATCTATATATATACATACACGTACACGTACATACACACATGTATTTGTATTTATATAATACATACACAAATGTTTTTTTTATAAAGCCTCCCAAAGATTCAGTTATAAAGTATTTTAAAATTATTAATAGAGGTTATTTTTAACTGGTGGATGGGAATGAGTTTGAGCCTTCCTCTTACACATTTTTATTTGCTTTTTCTCCATGGCTGAGCAGTTATGAAACTTGATTTGCCTTTTTCTTAAGGAAAGTTACATAAAAATGTGTTTCAAGGAGCTGCATGGCAAAATATTCCTGAAGTGGCTCTCTGGGTGTGGCATTCAGGTGGATTTTATCCTTGCCTCCCTTGAGCTGGTGTTGAGCATGGAAAAAAGCGGATGTGCAATGGGAAACAGATTGCATAGGGATAGGTGGTGCCTTCTGGGCCTGGAGCGCCCACTTTAGCTCAGCTCAGACTTTTTGGCACAGCACAGGGTGCCTTTCATTACCGACTGAACTTTTCTTCCCTTGCTCAACACACCAGAAAGTCAGGACACGATCAGCCAAGCACACCCTATTTTCAAGTGCTAGCATGTAAGGCAGGCCCTAGCTTTTCAGAAGATAATTTGGCCAAACAGAGTGAAAATGAAATGACTTATGTCCCCTTTTTCAAAGCAGTCATTGCCACCCTGATCAGGTGGAGCGATTTTACGTCCATTAGGATCTTTGGGAGAAATTAAGTTTGAGGCTTTAATCCTGGATTTACTTCATGAGAGAGCTGTAAGGTTAAAATCACCCAAATCAGTTTCAAGGACTTTCCCAGCCAGGCTCTGATGCGAGTAGTGTGTTTGAAGTTTTCCAGCATTTCTTTCTCTGCTTTGGTCTTGCAAAGCCCTGAACAGCTGTGTCTAGCATTATGTCATTAATGGGCCTTGAGAAGTTGAATAAACAATCTCTGACTTACTGTATCCAGCAGACAACGTACTGTGGCAGGGGAACATGTTGAGTTAGTTTCTCTAACTGGTTTGCTGTCAAGGTGTGCTGATCGTTGTGATGCACGTATGCTTAGAGAGCAAGCAATTATAAAACAGTGATCCTCTAAAAGCTGTGAGTGGATGAGAGAGTGAGCCAAACTGGAGCAGTTAATTATTACCCCGACCAGTTATTTATTCATTTATTATGAAATTGATGGCATTTTGACATATACGGTCATTAGATTAAAACCTCTCCCTTCCAGCAGCTCTCTCCTCCCTAGCCGGTATGCTGGCTTTTTCAATGCTGCACTGATCTTCAAGTTGTTGTCTGATTCAGTTTCCTTAAATAGTCACTTACTCTCTGTGACTCATTGGGAATTAGTCCAGCGTAAAGTGTATTTGAGTCTGTTTTTAGCTAATTTGTATGTTTTCATGTCAATAGGTGCTGAACAGCTTTGGGGGATGAAAACCCATACTGTAGCACTGCAGTGAGAACTGCTTTGTGATATATATAGGTTCTTGTGGGCATGCTGGTCAGGATGTATATTTCTGACACAGCCAGTGGGAAATAAACATAAGAACAGGGCACGTAGGAGGTGTGCACCTTGTCTCCTTGATCTTGAATTGTATTAGTCTGTAAAATAAAAATTCAAGGTCAGGTTGGATGGGGACCTAGGCAGCCTGCTCTCATGATTGGCAACCTTGCCCATGGCAGGGGACTTAGAAGAGCCAATCATAAAGATCCCCTCCAACTTAAGTCATTCTATGACTGTATGAATGTAGAGCAATTATGAGATGTGTGCCATAGCACAAAAGATTGTGTTCAGTCAGGGAGAAATGTCTCAAAGAGAGATTTCTCATTCTGGTCATCTCTGGAAAAAGATCTGTTACTAAATGGATTTTTTTGCATATTGGTGACAAGAATTCAAGGCATTTACCTGTCCAAGCACAACTCCCAGTTTTTGGGGCAAGAACTGCAGAGAAGAGACATGGAGATGCATTTTGGTAGAAGGAGATGTCTTCCTCCAAGATGGACCTGCAAAGTACAACCAGGTTTCGGTTGTTCCAAGCTGGAATTGGTAAAGACCCCACTGTAAGAGTGGTAGGAGCTCAGCAGACATCTGAGACTCCTACTGCTTACAGTTATGGCGCTACTGTGCTGTGATGGGACCAAATGATGTGGCTGATCAGATTATTAAGAACAGAGCAGACAGTTCCTTGGAAATGGTTGGCATGCAATCCTGATGAGCGTTGAGCCCATGGTGCTGCTCTGCTGCAGCCTCGCCAGCTGCTCTGGATCCTGCTCTGCAATTCCTCCTGCACCATTCCCTGCGGCTGAGGAAATCACTGCGCTAAGTGAATTTTTAGAAGCAGACTTTTATCTCTAAATAACAAACGTACGAATATTCTCCAATGAGGAGATGCAAATACGCAAAATCTTTAATTTGTTCCTGTTCTGATAAGAGGAGCTGAGAGGCCTTCTGGGGCAAGGGATTGATTTGAGCAGTCAGTAAGCAATAGCTGCTGCTTAGCAGGTCTGAGTTACCCCAGTGCATGTGGAGCAAAAAAAGAAAGAGAAGAAAGGAGGGGGAAGTTTTATAGTTTTGTTGTTGTGGAAAATGTAATGCTTCCAGTATCTTCCCAACCCCTGATCTCTCCCAGAACCTGAGTCTGTTCAGCTCCACAGGATGGTCCTGGCACTTACCGGAATTTAATGAGTGCTCATTAAAGCCAGTAAGTGCTCAGTGTATCTTAATGAGCACAGCAAACCTGCTCAGGAAAACTCGGGGGTGTTTTAAATGCTGATAATGGGGTGTGGAGAAGGGAGGGGAGGAAGCGAGTCCATTTTAGAGGAAAAAAACATCACCTTGTGCAGTTTGTACAGCGTGTTGGGCAGCACCCATCACTCCATGTCAAGCCCTGAGCTCCCTTTCTTCACTCCCTTTCCTTTCCCCTCTGTGTGCCCTGTGACGTGCTCAGGGAGGAAACTCCCGTGAAATCAAAGCATAAGCTTCCAATCTGTGCCTTTTAATGAGCAAGGCATAACTAATTTATTCTTGGTTTTGCTTTAATCTGAACATTCAAGGCGTAAGTTTAAGTGTGGCTGTTGCTTCTTACGTGGGGCTGTCAAAGGTGCTGTGTTTGCGTGGGGCCAGTTGGTCACAGCCGGTCTGTGCCATGCTGCAATCACTCAGTCCCTGTGTGGTATTTGATCCTCGGTTTGTTCTAAATGATTTTACCCGGCACAAGCTGTATGAAAAACAGACTTGGAGGGTACCCGAAATATCATCTGCCTGTTCCACAGCTGGTTCACACAGTCAGGTCCATTTATCCAGTTCATTTGCATTAGAGCTATGCTGCAGGAAGCTCTGCGGAGGTTGCTACCTCTAAACTTTACTTTGATTTTTACACCAAACCACAGAATGAATCTGGACCGATGCCATCAATTTGGGTTGAAACCCAAATGCCCGCTGAAGGTGCCCTAACCTAATTGAGGTAGAAACTGTTATCCAGCATTAAACTTTCTGATGATGTATAGGTAAAGGTACTCCAGCTCATTTGGCTCTTGGACAAGCGTGGTACAAGTATGTGGTTTACACATAATGGATGTGGGGAAAAAACATGAATGCCTTTGGGCTGTGTATGTGACTCACCCTCTCAGCTTGCAGGTCTGGGGCAGCTTGAGCTGTATCCTACCTATTTTACAGAGCTCAGCTGAGCCCCTCAAGGTTTGTAGGTGCCAATCTGATTACAAGGATTGAACCAGAGCTTGTAATGGTCTTACTCTTTATGGTCAACCTGCATTAGCATCCAGTGATGCAAGTCATTAGCAGTAGGATTGCCTGTGACTCTGTAGGTGAGCACACACTGTGGAGTACTTGCCTACGATACACTGAGTATCTGTGATCTGGTGGGTCTTTATATTTAAATGGCAACAGTCCACCTACTCATCTGCCGGTCAAACCACTGAGGTCTCTTTGCTCTGACACGGTGTTTTTGTCCACCCATTTTGAATTGTATGTTCTTTGGAACAGAAGCTGCTTGCATACAGCAGCCTGCAGTCCTCTATATTGCCAAATACTGCCAGACTATATGTAAGAATAAGTAATTTCCCCTAAGTTGGCTTGCAAGGTTTGAAATTCCTGGAGAACTGCTTTCTAAGAATAATGCAAAGCAAAATCTATAGAAAAGTCTTTGACTCTTTCTTTGTAATGAAATTATTCTGCAGCTTTGGTATTCAGGAGGCTGTTTGAGAGCAAAAGCTTCCTCCAAACTCAGGTCTGAGCAAACCCACACAATGCTTATGCCACCTGAGCATGCACCTTGGAGGAAAAGCCTCAAAGATATGGGCAGGCAATGACCTGGCTCACTCCATCTCCCTTGGGATGCAGAGAGAAGGGGACCTTCTCTTCCTGTCCTGATCTGACTGAGTTCAGAGGGGTTCCTACAGCGCATTCAAATTCTCTTTCCAGAGCCACACAGTTTGGGATCCTTTAGTATAAGGTTTGGTTGTATTTTTTAATATTTTAATTGAGTAGGAACAAATGATTGATAGGCCATCTTCATTGCTTGAGGGGTGTATTTTCACATTGCTGAATAAAATGCTAACAATTTAGAGACAAAATGCTGTTGTAGGTAGCAAAAGTGCTAAATATTATTATCTTGCTTTCTTTATTAGAAGTTTATACAAAAAATATGCTTTTAAAGTTTGGTTATGAACAGTTATTTCCGATACAATTACTCCCTCTTGTGTGTAAACTACCTGCCACATTTTAATTACAGGAAAAC